ATATATATATATATATATATATATAGATAAGTGTGGAGCCAGATTTATTTGGAAGTGACAATTTTGTCCTCTTTGAATGAAAATAGAGCTTTATTCACAAATGTTTATTGGGCACAAGTCTCACATCTTTGAATGGAAACATATCTAGTGACAACTCGTTTCAGGCATAATTGCTTCCTTCTTTTGGGAGACAATAACTCCACTTGTTATATGAATATATCTTGGCAGACCTTTCATATTCACAAATAGCTGCTTTAAAAAACATATCAAATGCAGCATAATTGCCATTGCTATTCAAGTCATTTCTTTGTCAGATCTCAGTCCTCATGAAAATTGTTTTGGATTGTCTTAGAGGGAAAAGAAATATCGAACTGATTTATGGAAAAGGTCACACTGTGGGCACAATCAGATCTGGAGTCCAATTAAGATTAAGTTAATAATCGCTTTTGTTGAAGAGCGCTGTACCACAGTGTCCCCATAGGTGACGGCTTTTAAAATCTTCTCAGCCAGATTAATTAACGAAATTCCCCCAGAACGGTAATGCGTTTGACCGTAAAGCGTGTGCAAGGCTGCTGCTCAACAGTATGTAGAGAATCAGTAATCTGCATCGCTCGGTCATGCAGGAACTGGGTAATTGGATGTTTTTTTGAGTGCGTGCTCAAGGCCGAACACATCTAGACCATTTATCGGGTTGATAATCAACACTATATTTTATTATTAGCCTTGTAACCCATGTTTGGGGTGAGATAATTGGAGGTTCGCTATGCCAGCATGATTACAGAGTAGAAAAAAAAAAAAAAAAACACATGCAAAACCTTATTACGACACAGTCTACTGAGTGAAGTGATCTGCATATACTCACCGGCCACTTTATTAGGTACACCTGTTTAACTGCTTATTAAAGGAAATTTCTAATTAGCCAATAACAAGGCAGCAACTCGGTGCATTTAGGCATGTAGACATTGTCTAGTCGATCTGCTGCAGTTCAAAGCAAGCATCAAAATGGTGGAGAAAGGTGATTTAAGTGACTGGATGTGGTTGTTTGTGCCAGACGGCTGGTCTGAGTATTTCAGAAACTGCTGATCTACCTCACACGAACAAACATACACGTTTTTTTGTAAATGACACAGTATTTAACATGACTGTATTTTACTGTTGGACAGTTATGCAGTGTTACTGCAATTTTAAGCTCCATTAAAGTTGCTGTACATTTTACAATAAAGATATACTATACTAGTGGCTGCAGGTGTACTTAACATTAGATCGCTAGGTAACCATCAACCGTTTTCTCAGAGGATGATCAGCTGACAAAACATTGCTGCAACTCTGATACAAGTTTTTTAATGGAAGAAATTAAAAAGCACTGCAGTGTTTGCCTGATATAATTAGTCTACCGAAATGTGAGCTCACGACACTCTGAAAAGTTAAGATGTTTTCAGCTAAGTGGGCCTGGAAGGCTTGAGCATGTCACACTTGCACGTGGACAGATGTGATATGTGGAAGGCCCCAGCAGATGATCCTCTTCTTGCACAGTCATGCTGGATTCACCTGATTTGTTGACCAAGGGGTTGCTGATGGGTTGATTGTACTCAAGTGACCATGTAATCAACAGAATAAGGTCATTTTTCAAAATAAAAGATTTTTCAAAATAAAAGACAATATTAAATAAGATATTAAATAAAACAGACACAAATAATGATTTCTTGTGCAGCCTGGTACCAACTGATCCATTGAACAGTTTTGTGCTATTTCAGTTGACCAAAATAGAATTGGTTTGGAAGTAGACCAAAACTGCCAAGTGTGAACTGGTTTTATCCAACTCACAAAACATATGGACTGTCAGTGTTGACAAGATTTTAAAACTTACCCTTATTTAATCTCTTAAAATGCATTCATGAGCCACCAGACTTCAAATAATGCATTTTTAAACATTCTGTTTTACTCTCAGTGTTACATTATGCAGTAAAACATATTGTGCATTCTGTTTCATGCTAACTTTAAAGGTGCCAATAGAGTTCTTCCACATTGTGACATATATAGGGAGACTATATATATATATATATATATATATATATATATATTTCGATTTTATGGTGAAAGTACTGCAAAAGTACGCCTCTTGTCCCAGACCTGATCACTGATCAAATTCTGAATTCTTAACATTGAATTAAAAGATAGCAATAGACTTCTCTTGCACATTGTGATACATATTTGAGTGAAACAGGAACATACACAAAAAGTAAAAACAAAGATTTTGATTGGATGGGTGTTATTTACTATTAGAGGATCTCAACAGGTTGCCCTGCCCCTACAAAAATAAAAACATCAAATCAACGAAACTTTTTAAAAATTATTTTAATTAAAGATTATATAAATGAAAAAAGTGCGCATATACATAATTTATAATAAATGCTGCAATATTTATAGAAGAAAAACAAAAGAAGAAAAAGATTTTGTGATTTCATGCTGAACAGTTAGCTTTGCATCACCCTGTGTTAATGAGCATTTTGAAGTATTACATGAGAAACGAGTGATAGAAACTCAGAATTTTAAATAAAAATCCCTTATTTCACAAAAAAAAGAAAAAAAGGTTTGTGAAAAAGGATTCATGGGAATCATTGAGATTGAATCAATAGAGATGGAAACACATGTTGAATACACTCCATGTCCATCGTCTCCATCGTGCTTGCCTACTATTGTTATTGCTCGTTTACTTTTGGTTACTAAGTTACCAATTCCAACACCAGTCACTCTTACAGGTCCCGTGAAATTAAAATAACATCTTTAAAAATCAGTACTCTAGTTTTAAGGATATCCAAAACAGTGACAAAATTTAAATTTCAAAGCTTGCAGTGTCATATCCACCTAAATTGATAAACAAATTACTTCACGTCACCTCATACTTAAGTTTCTCATAAATTCTTGACCAATTAAATGCTCTCTAGTATCTGACATGCCCAGCCCCCTTTAAAGTCTTTGTAATTTGCTTTCCATTTGATGTGTTTGAGCTCAACCATTGTCACTGGTAGAGCTGGGATAAAACAAAACCATATTGCCTGTTTTTTTTAAAGGGGAGGGGCTACTTTATGTCCCGCCCTTTCTTCACATAGACCAGGGATCAACAAACTTGTTCCTGGAGGGCCATTGTCCTGCAGATTTTAGCTCCAACCCTAATCAAACACACCTAAACAAGCTAATCAAGGTCTTAGGTATACTTGAAACATCCAGGCAGGTGTTGAGGCAAGTTGGAGCTAAACCCTGCAGGGATACCAGCCTTCAAGGACCTATATTGTTGACCCCTGGTCTATGTTTTATCTATGTCAGGGGTCACCAATCTCGGTCCTGGAGGGCCACACAATTCTTATAGACAATTCTTAAGAATTCATTGGGACAACTTAATTTTTTTCATGTTAAATCGACAAATTAGTTAAAAGTGTTTGATTTGTATTGAGACAACATGAATTAAGTGTGTTGAACCCTACATTTTCTAAAGTGTATGCTGTGTAGGGTTGTAACGGTATGAATTTTTTACGGTATGATAATCGTCTAAAACAATACCACGGTTTGACGGTTTCGCGGTATACGGTATGTTACAAATGTTACAAAATAATAGAACAGTGAAGCAAATTTGACTTTTTCCAAATAATATATTTTCAGTTACTATAAACAACACCACTTACAAAGAACAAATAAAAAAAAATAAGAAAATAATAAATAATGTGTCAAAGTCCAAATAAACATGGTGCAAATCCTCAGTAAAAAAATAGATATAAATATTTACTATCCTATAAATAGTTACATAACGAAACTAGATTCAATATGGAACATCTTTAGGTTTTATGTGCCAGCATGGATATGGTTGTCTGTGGATATGGATTTGGATATGGTTGTCAAACAGCTGCACCTTCATTTGCGTCTTTTGAAAACAGCAAGAGCAGCAGTTCGTCTTTGCTGTGTCACTGTTTTGTCATGTTTCTGTGCTGCTGTGCATGCAAAAGTACTTAGTATGAGAATTATTTCATGCAAAACTTTTTTTTGCGTTTTATTTAGCCGCGCATAAATGTACAGCCTATCTCTCATTCCGTGTTGTTCAAAAAGCTCAGTGTTGGTCCACAAACAAAAGCGAAACCTGTGCTTATTGGTTGTGATATAGCGAGTTTGAACCAATCTGGGCATGGAGGAGGGACAATGCATCAATGTATGATGTCTGGTTTGTCCGGAGACACAGTGACGAGCGTTTCTTTGTCAAATCAGCGTTGTCAAATTTTGATGACGTAACTGCACTGATTCCGGAGCCTCTGAAAGTCCGAATGTTATGTGATACAGCACTGGAAAGCTGAGATTCTCTTCTTTATGCCAATATTTGAATTGTATGAATCGGATCAGCGGATCAAAAGTTATTAAACATTTAAGAGCAATAATTATTTTTAGCCGCGGGCGGCTGTCTCGGTCTTTAAGGGTTAAAACCGTTGATATGCAATTGTTCATGGTATGATAACCGTGCACGTTCAAATCGTGGTAGACCGTCATACCGGTATATTGTTACAACCCTAATGCTGTGTTGTGACTATTGCGTATGATCACATTGTAATGTCAATTCTGAAACGATATATTGTGCAGCTCTACTTAGCTTGATGGAAATGCACCTATTTCTCATTTGGGATTTTTTATCTTTCTTCTTCGCACACTTTGAAAACATTCACTACACGTTAGGATGAAAAACTCCCTAGGGTGTAAGCATCCCTCGTCCTAGACCTGGTCACATTCTGAATACTGGATGAAGACTTACAAAGCCATTTGGGCCACTCAGACAACATCACATGCACTTTTATGTCACGCTGACATATCTTTTCTGTTTATGTGTGTGTGTGTGTTCCCAGGATGAGCCTTTCAAAGTCAGCATGGACGAGGACATTTTGCCCAAAGACAAGCGGCCAGTTGCATCCACACCTATACCTGGATCACCATGGTAACCACCAGTATTATTAACGCGTATATATAAATGCATACAGCTCACCATCAATCCAATGCATAGCTAACAAATGACTTTCTCTGCATGCAAGATAATAACCAATCAATTGTGCTCTCGTAATGTGTGTCGACCTACACTTTAAAATGCCACAATTGTAAATGCAGCATTTTTCTCCAGTATTCTGAAATGCTTCAATAGGTATTTTGTTGTTATATGGTGATATAAAGATGCTTGTTTTATCGCTTCTCGTGCCGTCATAAATGTCAGCAGCTTTAGCACCTTTTAAATGATGCATGCCGCTTTAGAAGTGCTTGATGACAGTAATACATGCTTGAATAAAATACGTGGCAAACCTCCAGCGCTAAACAGATGCAGTGACACCCGATTGAAAAAAAAAAAAAACAGCATTTGGACAATGTGTTATGCAAGACTTCCATTTCGCTCTGCCAAAGCAGTGTGGGCTTTCCTTCTCAGCAAACAAACACACAAACATACACGCAGAGACATTTTTGAAGCCCAGCAGGCGTCATGGCTTATCGCTTTCAGCTTTTGTTGACACACACGAACCGGCTTCACTCTTTAATTTCGGCATTTAACGTGTGCTTGATGACACCAGCTTTACAGAACTGGTGCTGTTGTGCGATTATCCTGATATGGAGGATGGTTCCATTCCTATAAAAGCCTTTTTTTTTTTTTTTTTTTGAATGTAGACAGATCAGATCTTTTTAGGGTTTATGCTTAAAAGAAATTAAATGGAGAGCACATTGAGGTAGTGGATTAAGTCTCTAGCTTTTCTGGTTTATGCTCATATTAAAGGTTTAGACTATATCTAGATTATTGAGATGTAATTATATACAGTTGTAGTCAGAATTATTAGCCCCCCTTGAATTTATTTATTTTTTTAAAATATTTCCTAAATGATGTTTTACAGAGCAAGGAAATTTTCACAGTATGTCTGATAATATTTTTTTCTTCTGGAGAAAGTCTTATTTGTTTTATTTCGGCTAGAATAACACCATTTTAAGGACATAATTTTTAGCCCCTATAAGCTATATGATTTCGATTTATTAATTCGATTTATTATTTCGAATTATATTATTTTCGAGTTTACAGAACAAACCATCGTCATACAATAACTTGACTAATTACCCTAACCTGCCTAGTTAACCTTATTAACCTAGTTAAGCCTTTAAATGTCACTTTAAGCAGTAAAGTGTCTTGATAAACATCTAGTAAAATATTATTTACTGTCATCATGGCAAAGATAAAATTAATCAGTTATTAGAAATGAGTTATTAAAACTATTATGTGTAGAAATGTGTTGAAAAAAATCTGCTCTCTAATGAACAGAAATTGGGTAGAAAAAAAATAAACAGGGGGCTAATAATTCAGGGGGGCTAATAATTCTGACTTCAACTGTAAATCACAGAAAACTAAATATCATAACGTCATATTTTCCAATACCACACAGCCCTATCCCCTACTGAGACTGTTATATAAACATAAGAAATTGATGATGAAATGTATTGCCTATGTCTTGTTATGTCCATGTATTCCGTGATAAGAAGCTATATTGATTACTGTGACAGGCTTACACAAGATTTTTGATTTATTAGACTCTGATTCATTTGTGCAAGGTGCAATTGTAAATGTTCATTTTCTTTACACAATAACCAACACAGTATACACAGTTCATGCTGAAATACAAAGATATCTTAAAAAAATAAAAATAAATATTATTAAAATTTATGATCACACTAGTTTACTCTGTTTTGATTTGCTATTAGGAACTGGTGCATGTTTAAAAATCATTCTGCATAGATTGCACGGTATGTATTTCTTTTTTTTTTTCTTTTTTTTTTGCTATTAACAACTGGTTCATAAAATCTTCAAAACGTCATCAATAAAATGTAATTTTAGTGAGTGATATTTTTCAAATGAAGTTCATGCTTAATTGATGCTTCATTAGTTTCATCTATTTGGGTCACACTTCATATTAAGTGACCTTAACTAATATGTACTTACACTGAAATTATTATTTTTTTTCAATGTACAGTACTTATTGTGTAAATACATGCTGTTACACTGAACTTATGCTTGATTAAATACCTGCATGTAATTACATCTGCAATTTTTTTGTAATTGCATTCATAATTACACTGTTGATCATACCTTACACCTTAACCTAAACCTATCCATAACAACAAACCTGTCCTTAACCCTACCAGAACCCCACCTCAGGAGCACCAGAAGTGTTCTGCAATACATTATGAACTCATTAAGCACATTGTATTTATATTCTGATGCAACTACTTAGTAGTTAAGGCCACTTAATTTAAAATAATAAACAAATTTGTTTAATTTCTACTTTTTGTCAGGATATACTGCCATGTCACATAGAGAAGTCAAATAGTTTTGACCTAGAAACAGTATATCAGTATCACACAATAATAAAAACACACACAATAATATTGGAGCAATGAAATGCTCCTGGCTCTAAATTTAATTTTGTAGCTTTTGTTTTTATGTGAAGGTTGAATGGACATGATTTAGAAATTCAAGAATCCCTGTGGTACTATAGAATGGACAAATGTAGCATGTGACTAGCACCGACAATATGTTTGCGATATGAATAACTGCATTCGAGCAGAGCGAATGATCCGTTTCAAAGATTTTTTAATATCATTGGGTCAGTTTTACGGTACAGGAAGGCACTGCCGATCTCCCTGATGCAATGGGGTAGCAAAATGAAATGTCAAGATTGGTTTGTCATGGTTGGCATGAGGTTGTATCAAATTACCTCACAGACTAGTGCAGAATCCATGAATACTTTATCTGACATGCCTTCAATGGGTCTAAAATTATCACCGGAAGGTATGAATATCTAGTGCGGAACGTTGGAGAAATTGGTCAGTTCTGGATTTATGGCAGAAAACTAAAAATGTATAATAGGCTTGTAGATGCTCGAAGCTGGATATATTGTAGATTTATCCGTTTTAAAATCTCTAGGAATGTGAGGTGGGAAAAAAATACAGCAGGATTGAATCAAATGACCAAATTCAGCCCATCTGCTCTTAGCGATTCCCAGCTGCCATGTGCGACCTAGAATCCCCTCACTAGGTTACACTACAAAGATGATTTCTTAGTCAGCTTGTGAGAATACTATAACCCTGAATCAGAAAAAGCTGGGACAGTATGGAAACCCAAATAAAAAAAACAAAGTAGCGATTTCTAAATTGACTTTGACGTGTGTGTCATTGCAGACATAAATATATACACATTATTTACAGTGTCCCTAATGACTTTTATTGTTTTATTTTTAACAAAATAAACACATATTCCAATTTGGGTTCTTGGAACACATTTCAAAACAGTGGGAACAGTAAAGCATTACCACTTTGTAATGTTGCCATTCCTTTTCCTAACACTTAAAAGATGTTTAGGGACTGAAAACACCAAGTGATGAAGTGTGTGTGTATTTTTGTCCTGTTTATCCTGCAAACAAATCTTAAGGTGGGCAACAGTATGAGTTTGCATTGTTACGTTTTGCACTTCAAAATGTGTCACACATTCTCTATTGAAGACAGGTCAGGACTGTAGGAAGGCCAGTCAAGTACCTGTATTGTGCTCCCAAATCTCAGTGTAGTTTTCAGCATTAACGATGCCATCACAAAAGTGCAAGCTACCTTTGTCAAGGGCACTGACACAAACCCATACCATGACAGACCCTGGCTTTTGGCTTCTCAGTAATTCTGTAACCAATGGGAGTCGAGAAACAACGAAGTTGAGAACCCAAAATGCAGTTTTATTAAGAATTATCAAGCATGCAACAGTCAAAACAGGAACAAACGGTATCATGGGGGCATTCCAAAAGCTTAGTTGAGGTCAGAGGCAAATAGTTTGGTACAGGTGGCAAAACAACATAAACAAGGAAACAAGGCAAGGGCCAACCAACACAGAACGATTAAACAACGATACACTTTGTAATGTTACAGCAAATAAGACTCAGCAATGTGTGTGAGAATGTGAGATCATTATCATTAGTCCTTACAAGCTTCAGCAGTGTCTGCAACCACTGAACTGTTGTGCAGTTCAGTGGCAAAATTGTAGTTCGGGTGATGAATGTCCTCCATCCATCTAAAAATGCTAGATCACTGGTGACAGTGACAATTTAATTTTTTATCCCAGATTACAGATTTTTAAATCGATTTATCTTGGCCAACTATTTTCTTTTGGTCAAATAAAAATATTAATTGCAAACATTTTACACTTATGTAATGTAATGTAATGTGTGGAGAATGTGGTTTTGCATTGTCTTGTTGAAATATGCACTGGCGTCCCTGGAAAAGAAGGCAGCATATTGTGCTCAAAAATCTCTGTGTACTTTTCAGCATTAATAGTGGCATCAGAGAAGTGCCAGCTACCTTTGTCAAGGGTATTGACAACTCCATACCATGACAGACCCTGGCATTTGCTTACTAGCCCTAAACTGCTCCTGTCCAAACTTCTATTGGAATGTGTTGCAGGTCTGAATGACAGTAAAGGATGTATATTTACATATGAAATGAAGTTAACCAGACCAAACATGAAATCTGTTGAGTTCATATTGTCTGCAATGAAATACAAGTCAAAGTAAACTTGAAAAACACTACTTACCACTTTATTTTTTGCATTTTCCATACTGTCCCAAGTTTCTCTGATTTGGTGTTGTACAAAAAATGCTGTTGGATCGTGTTCATGTGAATGAGTCTGAATAGAATCATTCTCTTCTTTTTTTTCTAGGTGTGTGGTGTGGACGGGTGACGACAGGGTGTTTTTCTTTAATCCCACAATGCATTTGTCAGTATGGGAGAAACCAGTGGATCTGAAAGACCGTGGAGACCTCAATCGAATCATTGAGGACCCGCCGCATAAACGCAAGAAAGATGGTGAGACTCCATTCAGGCAAAACGTAACACTTTTAGATTGAATTTAGGAAGAATAGAGCACAGATTGGTATGCAGGCCGTGTGTTTTCTGACCTACTTAATGGCAAATGTATTTAGAAATGAAATCCAAATAGCACAAAGTTAAATCGTTTACACTCTTTATATAACTGAATTTCATGTTAATAATTTTTAGAAAAATCACATGCATAAACTGTTGTGGAAAATGATTTTAAAACAAGTGATACATTTTAAATATTTTTAAACATCATTTCTAATTTAGTCTTTTTTTTAAAAAAGCAAAGCTACATTTTCAGCATATTTTCTCCAGTCTTTTAATTCTTTTCTTCAGTCAATTGTTGCTTTTTCTGAAATATTTATATTATGTCTTATTATTAATGTTAAACTGTGTTAACAGTATTAAAAGTTATTGATTATAATATTTTCTTTTCATATAAATTATAAATAAATTATTTCAAAACTGCCTCAATCCTTCATGGTATAGATTCCACAAGGTAATGGAAATATTTCTCAGAGATTTTGGTCCATATTGACATGATAGCATCACACAGCTGCTGCAGATTTATTGGCTGCACATCCATGATGCCAATCTCCCGTTCCACCACATCCCAAAGGTGCTCTATTGGATTCAGATTTGGTGACAGTGGAGGCCATTTGAGTAGAGTGAACTCATTATCATGTTCAAAAAACCAGTCTGAGATGGTTTGCACTTTATGACATGGCGCGTTATTCTGCTAGAAGTTGCAATCAGAAGATGGGTTCACTGTAGTCCTAAAGGGATGGACATGGTCAGCAACAATACTCAGGTGGGCTGTGGTGTTGACACAAAGCTCAATTGGTACTAATGGACCCAAAGTGTGCCAACAAAATATCCCCCACACCATTACACCACCACCAGCCTGAACCGTTGATACAAGGCATTATGGATCCATGCTTTCATGTTTTTGATGCCAAAATCTGACCCTTCAATCTAAATGTCTCAGCGAAAATCGAAACAAATCAGACCGGCAACGTTTTTCCAATCTTTTATTGTTCAATTTTGGTGAGCCTGTGTGAACTCTAGCCTCAGTTTCCTGTTCTTAGCTGACAGGAGTGGCACCCGGTGTGATCTTCTGCTGCTGTAGCACATCCGCCTCAAAGTTGGACATGTTGTTCGTTCAGAGATGCTCTTCTGCATGCCTAGGTTGTAACAACTGGTTATTTGAGTTACTGTTTCTTTTCTATCAGCTTGAAGCAGTCTGGCCATTCTCCTCTGACATCAACAAGGCATTTGACCCCACAGAACTGGCGCTCACTGGATATTTTCCTTTTCAGACCATTCTCTGTAAATCCTAGAGATGGTTGTGCGTGAAAATCCTAGTAGACCAGCAGTTTCTGAAATACTCAGACTAGCCAGTCTGGCACCAACAACCATGCTACATTCAAAGTCAATTAAATCCCCTTCCTTCCCGATTCTGATGCTCGGTTTAAACTACAACAGATCGTCTTCACTACGTCTGTGTGACTAAATGCATTGAGTTGCTGCCATGTGATTGGCTGATTAGAAATTTGCATTAACAAGCAGTTGGACAGGTGTACCTAATAAAGTGGCCGGCGAGCGTATATTTAGCATATTTTCTCCAGTCTTCAGTCAATTGTTGCTATTTCTGAAATATTTACTTCATCATAAATGTTAAATGTTGCTAACAGTATTAAAAAGATCATATTAGTTTATATATAAAAGCAATGTATAATTTATATAAAAAGTAAAGTACGTTTGATCATTTTGATGCATCCTTGCTGAATAAAAGGATTAATTTCTTTAAGGACAACCGCCTCAAACTTTTTAAATAGTAATGCCCTGAAATTCTAATCAGATCATGTTGGCAAGTCCAACTGTAGCCTGAAGGTAAAACTCAGATTAAGTTGCTGAATCAGTCAAGTGTTACTCATGACTTTATGATACAAAACACAGGAGCACGGCCTGCGTAAAGGGATGAACTTGGCTGAAAGTTTAATCCTCGCAGTGTGATAATGATGCTCAAGCAAAAGTTAAATACACCCGCCAACTGCAAAACTGGTGTTCTCGTGGATTAACTAAAAGAGTAATCCAATGAAGCGACTCTGCAAATATTGAATTAGTCTGGATCTTGTCTGGAAGTTATTATACGGCTGGCTTGATTTCCCAGAGGGCTTTTCATCTTTATTGATTTAGCTTCATTTCCATTGCATTGAGATTATCTATTGATGACCTTAATATATTCAGGGTCTATTATTTAAATACGTCCATTTGAGCAAATTAGTTCTCATTGTTGCTTTTAAAAAGATGTTAATGTTGCATTTGTTTCATCAACAGACGACAGCTCCAATTCTTCCTCCGGTGATGAGGAGGACGACGAGGAACATAATTCAAAGTCCAAGCGCTACAAGTACGTACGCTTGAGTCATGTAAAATACAACAGATCTATTCCGAGTCAGCTTTAATTGATGAGGAGGATCTCGAGTTCGATGTGTTGTACGTCACTCACCTTAATAAATCACAGCTCAACAGGACGTCTTTGGATTATGGTGGGAAACATCTGCACTCACAGCTTGATGCAGATTTCTCAGTCTGTCTCTAGACTTGGAGAGGATTTCATTGAAGTGTGAACAAATGTATGCGTGGTGATGAGAACACAAGCCTACACTTAAGCTTTCAAGATGAATTATGGAAGATTTCATCTATGGTGAACAGCTTGTGGTTGATATACCAGCAGGCACACAACATTATAAGACGTTTATATTAGGTTAGATTTAGGGCATGACGTCAGGTGACCAAAATTCAATATCTAGCCAACATCTAAGGACAACGTTATTTTGATGTCCAAAAACGACGTCAAATTGCGTTGATATTTGGTTGATTTTAGGTTGTGTTGGAAAGTGACCAAAATCCAATGTCTGATTAATGTCATAGTGGTAACATCCACACAACATCAAGGTGTAACATGATTAGATGCTAATATTTGGTTGACTTTAGGTTGGACATTGGATTTTGACACCAATCAGAGTTTCATTTTCAAACAAAATCCAACATCCCCACGATGTTGGGGTATGTTGGGGAACAACGTTAATATGCCATCATGCTGACAAGTGACTTGTCATTACTCTCTCATCAGTCTCACTCTCTCACACACTTAAAGCGACTACTTAGTGCTTAGTGGTTGGCCGGCAGTGTGCAGGAGTTGCACTTATTACTCAGCCATACTTGCATGCTATTTTAGACCAAATATTCAGAGTAGCATGATTAACAATATAGGGAGCGCGTCACAGGCTGTCATCCAAAAAATGAACCAAAAAAAAAATAAATGAACCAATGTGAATATAAAAACTACTTCCCCTCAGTAAAGCAGGCTATTGGCGGAATAACGCTATTTACTGATGTTTTGTTGGTAAACTAAATAAAAATGTATATTATTGATGCTGTAAAAGGACCTCCTGAAACTGAAAATAGTCACAACAATCTTTCACTGAGAGATTTCAGTTGGTGAACAACACTTCTGTGCATGTAACCCATTCATAACAGCAAAATCTGCATAAGCTTTGCTTTTTTTGGTAAAGCATTTTTAGACCATCAATATAATATTTTATTTATACTTTCCACTTCATTTTCTTTCTTTAAATCATTTTGTAGATTTGATTTGTGCTTTTGTATTAATTTTTATATTGTTTTATAATTGTGTCTCTATATAATCTACAAGACAATAGCATAATTAACTATTAAAGCTGTTGTATTTTGTCTTCACCAAAGACTTGACCATTCTGTTGACTGTGATGAAGATGGAAAAAACGGATCATCCCATCGAATGGTTTTACCATTGGAGCTCCGGATCGCTCATTTCAGAGACATGCTTCTGGAAAGAGGGGTGAGAAAACCAGTGACTCTGAGGCCTAAAAAAACACTCCAGCTTTTTTGTAAAATTCAACTCATTTTACAACTGCCCTAGAGTTAAAGAGTTGAGTTTTACCACTTTTAAATCCATTCAGTCATTCTCTGTGTTTGACAACAGGACGTTTAGCATAGCTTAGCATAGATAATTGAATCTGATTAGGCCATTAGCATCTCACTCAAAAATGACTAACATGTTTTTGATAATTGTCCCATTTAAATCTTGACACTTCTTTACTTACAATGTTTACTAAAACTGACAGAAAATTAAAAGTTGCTACTTTCTAGACCGACTACGAACTTCATTCTAACGAAAAAAATCATAGAACTTTGCTGCAGTGTCATAGCTGTAGCAGGCGCAATGATATTATGCAGCACATGAAATTAGTTCTGAATTGTATCTCACAAATGTCTCCATGTTGTAAGGCACACTCCCTCTGCAAGCATGTGTTCACTTTGGGTATATTGACAGAAAATAGCTAATATTCAGGTGCTGCATAATATCATTGCACCTGCTAAAGCAACGCAATCTCACGGCAATTCGTAACTTTTTGATTTAGTGGCTAATTCGTATGAATTTGTACGATCTAATTCATACAATTTAGTACGATTTGCTCATTACCCAATGACGATTGGAGTTGGGGGTGGGGTTGGGTGCCACACCTTCTTTTAAAAAATCGTACATTTTCATACAACTGAATTCGTACGAATTAGCCACTAAACTGACAAAACATAAAATACTTACGTTTCCTCGTGATATCAGACTGGCTACAACAGCAAACTTCCTTGATTATTACACCGGAATGAGAGTATAGTTCCAATACATATCTGCCTAGACAATACCAACTTTTCAGTCTCACTACATGACATTAATACAAAATAATCAAGCTATAAATACAACAATTATCAAAACTGGTCATTTTAAGTGAGATGCTAATGGTCTAATCTGATTCAATGATTTATGCTAAGCTACGCTAAGTGAAGTTTATTGATAAACTAACTTCGAGAGGAGCAAGTGATTATGATTGAACACGGCTGGTTCTGCATTAGCATGCATGATCCACCAATCAGGCCATTCCTAATCCACTATAAAGAGCCAGGGTTTTTTCACTACAGTCATCTTCGATTTGAAGAATCCCCCCTTCCACCCCTACCTTTTCACCTTTCCCTCCATAGAGCAGCACAGTGGCCCAATGACTAGCACTGTCGCCTCACAGCAAGAACGTCACCGGTTCTAGTCCTTTAACAGGCTGGTGGTCGTTTCTGTGTGTAGTTTGCATGTTCTTCCTGTGCTTGCGTGGGTTTTCCCCGGGTCCGCCGGTTTCCTCCCACATTCCAAAAACATGCACAACAAGTAAATTGATAAATCTAAATTTGCAATACAAGTAATCTCATAATGCAGCATATCTTTTAATAGCATTCAATTTTTAGTCATCAGCTCTTATCAAGGGGGAGTTGTCGAGATCTACCTGAGCTCAAGGCTCCCCTCTCTTCCTCCAAACGGGACAAAGCCCAGGGCTCAAGAACCTTCGAGCTCAGGGCTCTCTCCCGGGACAGCATGCCTTACTTGCTTATAATCAATTATCAGCTAAGTGTGAACTCTTGAAAAGGCGTCCAGACCAAGAGATCGGCTAAATGGATTTTAAAAATGCTAAAACTCAATGGTTTAACTCTGGAGAAGTTGCAAAATAAATCGATCTTCAAATATATGGAGTGTTACTTTAAAGAATAATGGAGATCAAAATCGATGCAATTCGTTCCTAAAAAAAGAAGATTATGCCATTATTTTGGGCCAAACTTTTTAGTATTTCTGTAAACACTTGAAATGAATCTTGAGTGTTCAACATGCATGCAAGTGCGAGCATCCTTCATCCTGCTTGTCTTGAACAGGTGTCTGCATTTTCCACCTGGGAGAAAGAACTGCACAAAGTTGTATTTGATCCACGATACCTACTGCTAAATCCAGAGCAACGCAAACAGGTACAAAACAAGAGTCTCACTTCAGTAATGCACCAACACTGTGATTTTAAATGTACTGGTAAACCAAATGTCTTGCTTTAAGTTAACTGTATACATGGTGTTACATCATTATTACGTATTAAAATGCTACAGTATTAATTTTAATATACATGTTTACATCTAAAAATCCCCTCATTTAAATTCTCAGATTTATGATCAATTTGTCAAAGCAAGAATGAACGAGGAGCACAAAGAGAAAAAGTGCAAGCTCCAGCAAGCGAAAGAAGAATACAAAAAACTACTGGAGGAGTCAAAAATCACATCCAAGTGAGTTTATCCAGTACAGGAGATGAAATAATGTGCTGATGCATTAATAAAACCTGTCACCAGAGCGGATTATTTATTCGGAGGAGGTGTTAATAACTGATGGCTTTTGCAGTCCTGGTTTCTTTGAGTTTGTGTGTTTGATGATAACCTTGTATCTTGCTAAAGGTCTCAGTCTCACAGAAGTAAATTCAAACACGCCGCAGGGATTAGCTCACGGCTTTAAGCTTAAACTGAGGACTGCTTTCACTTTAGCTCTATTCCTTACTGGATTCATTCACAGTGAAAACTGAAATAAAAGGAACAGACTTTACCCCATGCACTACATTTGTCCTTGAAATTAAACAATGTTTGTTTGTTTTTCTAAAGGGGTTCTCTTAAATAATTGACTGCTGAGAGATGGCGATACTGTAGGATATGGATTAGATGGTTATGACTGAACATATGATCTCTTAGTGTCAGTTTTTTTAAACTAAGTTTGGATTAGTTTGTCACCTCTGGTTTAGGTTTGGCTGATTGGTTAGTTTATTTTAGGGGTGGGGTTTGGCTGGTTTTAGGATCGGTTGGTTGGTTGTTTTTAGGGTTTGGATTGGTTTGTATTTAGGGTTGGAGTTTAGTTGGATTTACACTGTAAATTCTAACATGTTCAGTTTACTTTAAAAAAGTTTGGAAACCGATTGCCTTATTTTTGCAATATAAACTTACAAGGAAATCTTAAGTTAAGTTTAATTATTGCCTTGAAGTAAGAAAACTAAAACTTATAAAGTAAACTAACTGTTAAAAATTAAGTAAGTTTAATAGAAAATTCTAGTTAACATACTTGTTATTATTTAGTAATCTTACTTAGGGTTTTATAGTAAGATTACTTTAATAACTCTATTTAACTAATACTGTTCTACCATGTTCAGTTAACATCTTGAATGCTAGTAGTCTCAACATTGTTTTAATCCACCATTTTAAGTAATGTCAACTAAAGAAACTACGTGCAATCGGTTTCCACATTTTCTTCAATTAAACTGAACATAAAATATGTAGTTCAACCTACAAGTAATGACATTATACAGGTCTTAAATGTAAACATTTTATTTGACAAAATTAGCAGAATTTCACAATACACTTGTGATATTTTAGTATCACAATACACTTGTACACAATACAGTTTTGTAAAAACCTGTTGTAAAGTGCTGTAATATACTGTAAACAGCAATACAGACAAAAAATACAATAAACATGTTCAACCCTAAAACACAAGTTTTCGAAAAGGTTTGAAAATCTATCAAAAAAACTTTAAATACTTGACACTTGGAAAAAAGATACTTGAATTAGTGTAATTAAACATGCCATTGCACCAGCACCTTAAACATGGCAGCATATAGACACTCACAGAGGAACAGATATTAAGCTTTAAAGCTAATTTGTTAGACTGTGTAGTTTAGATTTTCCTACAGAAAATATCACATTAGTGTGGTCAAAAGTATTGAGTTTGGTATCAATCAATACTGAAATATTAAAAATATCCATTTTCCACCAGCATTTGAGTGCTACTGAGCTCGTTCTTAAACACCATTGACTGGCCACTGTGTTCACATGCTCAACAGAAATGACTTGACGTGATTGGCTGTGACTGTCATAGGTTTACCATTTTTCACTGAGTCCAAACAAAGTTACACAGACACTGAAGTGTTTCAAAGCCATGTCGATAGCTGATTTGTTTAGAAGCTAACATATAAGCTATCTGGTGATGAATCGACTGATCGACAGTGCTTTGAAGTTATCCAGTGTTTTTGTATCTTTGCACCTGGTGAACAGTGGTGAAGTGTGGTAAAAATAATGACCTTCAAAGCCAATCAGTCATATCTACTGAGCAGATGAACACAATGGCCAATCAGTTCTTGCAATGTTAGTGGGAAATGGATGGATTTTTTTTTTATTTATTTCAGTACCGATTGGTACCAAACTCAATACTTTTGACAACCCTATAAATCACAATACACTTTTTTGGTTAAAAAAAAAAGTGTTTTAAACACCAAAATGTTGTAGTCCTAAATGTAACACTGCAAACAGCAACATGTTAAAAAGCAACACTTTGTAATTAAACATGCCATTATACCTGAACCTTTAAACATAAAGCACAGCAGTATATAGGCACTCGCCGAATAAAACACATTACGCTTCCCTCCCAGCAAAAGCAACACACGTTGAACAAATTCAAATGCATTGCTCAAAGTCTTTGGGTAGTCCGAATTCAGTGTGTAAATCAAAGCAAAAAAAGAGACATACTGCATGTGGCAAAGTCCATAACCACTTTTCCTTCCAGTATAAAGGCCCACATTGCATCCATAATGAGGTTCTTTAGACATCTTCACACACGACAGTCAGCAGGCCAACATCTTCTGCACTGAAGTCCGACTCTACAATTACATCCTATGAATAGAGAAAGAAAAATAAGTAAAGTTTGATATTCTAAATGGCACTAATAAAGCCTGTAGTGGCCAGGAGACCAAATGCAGAGGTGAAAAAAATACAATTCCTTGTGCTTAATTTAGTAACACTTTAGTAGGAACCAATTACCCTATTAACTAGTTGCTTATTAGCATGACTATTTGTGTTTATAGTACATTTTACATTCAAATGCTTCTTATAAGAAGGCCTTGCTATGGTGCTCCTTCTTCAATGTAGACCAACACGATGGATTTGCCTGTACTGCTTCTACTAGGCTTGTCATGATAGTGGAATTTATTACCAATCCATATAGTAATTTTAAAAACATCCATTTCCTGCTAACATTTGGGCATTGTTGAGTGTCATTTCTGTTAAGCATGTGAACAGAATGGCAAAACAGTGCTGTTTAAAAATGTGCTCAAAAGTGCTTAAAATGTTAGCAGGAAATTTGCTGCTTAAAATTGCAGCAGAGATTGGTACTAAATTCCAGTATCTTGAACATGATACTATTCTAAAGGAACAATAATTTTTTTTAATTAAAGGAACACTGTAATGTAATAAAACAAACTGCAGTAAAAGTACTTTTAAAACATTTTCAAGAAATTAAATGCAAATGTGTGAGAGACCAATTGGTGCTACATAATCAATATAAATATTTTGTAGGGAAAACTTAATAAATTGGGAACCGATTCATGAATGCATTTGGTTTTGCTAGGTTAAAGCAGTGAGTCAAGTTTGCATTATTTAGCACACTTTTTAAAAATGTATTAATAACTATTTTTTAATAAGAAAATTGATGTTTTAGTATGGCTTTTAGAACAAGGGTGCAGCCATCTACAATCCCACAGCAGGTGACTTCACAGGGTTGGTTATAATACGGAGCATCTTTGACTACTTTTATATTTCTCTCAACATATTACATAGGTATTACACTTATTAAGATTTTTTTTTCAAGCTAATCTTCCTCCTTTTCAAAACAAGCGTGTTTAAAAATTAAAGAAATGCATTCATTACTTCACTGGCCTATGAAGCTAACTGACCCTGTGACGGCACAAGCTGCAGTATTTGCAACATAGCAATGCTCTTGCTCCAAAGGCCATAATATAACATCCCTCTTACTTTCAAATACTTACATTAAATGCATTTGTTTTATTTTTATAAAATTGAAAATTTATATTAATAAGTGAAGTAAACTGGAATGACTGCTTCATTTCCAGTCTAAGAAAGCAGAAACAATAATACTACTTACAAAACACATCCTGAAAATTTCTTTAGACTCATCCCTCTAAAAGACTGAAAGACCCCGGAGAACTGCTGCCAGATGACCTTGAAAAAGTAAAGACAGGTAGACATGCATTATAGCCCAATGAAAACATCAAATGCAATTTATTGCAATCAAATGCAAATTATGATTCAAAGATGATGTCACAAAAATACCTTTGAATTAACATGTTGAAAATTTCTTCTAGTTTTCTTCTGCAATTTTCTCCTGTTTTTTTTTTTTTATTTCAATCAAACGAGCAGTGTGTGTCCAATGCAGCGTAGAACTTGGATCTCACATTTCTTCCTGATATTCGATTGAATTCTGCAAAATTCCAATCAAAACATTATTAGTCATTAATAACATTCAAAAACACAAATTCACAAAATCACACAAAGTTTTGAAAAGAAAACAAACCTTCTGCAGCACTTGCATCAGCTGGTGTTTCCTCTATGACTTCCTTCTGGATGTCACTGTTGTGCACAAAAACGTAAAGTGTTATTGACATGGCTAAGCGAAATTCTAAAACAAAAAACAGAAATCAGAAACACATGCAATGATACAATGCAATGCCATTTAGCAACAGATGTTACACTTTAACATGACATAGTTAAATGTTCTTGAATAATAAAAGCTGCCAAATACTCCCGGCGCCTGTCATCAAAAGCATGAGCTATACTTGTCACCAAACAGTAATAAACACAACCCCCGATTAAATATAATCATGGCATTGTTGCTGGTGTGCCTTACTTTTATGCGCATTAAAAGTGGAATAAATATTTGTCTCAATTGAAGTCTTTAAAAGGACACTGAACTTTCTGACTAGGGTTGCACGGTTTACCGGTACTATGGTAGTATCATGATACTATGGCTCCAAGATACTGGCGGTGCCACTGTAGTTTGTAAACGGTAATATTGTCATTAACAGTCTGCCTACAATACATAATGCTGCATGTGAAAAAGTCACTAAAATACTTACACGATTCAGCAACAATAGATCATTGTATTTTAATAGTCTATGGAGCCTTCTAAGGTTGTAAAACTGTAGAATTTGCGCCTTTTATATTTTTACATTTTACATTTTGAATTGGAATTCGTTTATTTCTGTTCCTGTCAATATGATATAATAGCTACAACAACCGTGACAATCTATTAAAAAGAATGACTCATAAAGTGAAATTTTGAATTACTTTGGATTCTTATCCGATAATAAGTGTGAAAAAAGTATGATAGATGAAAAACCCAAAATAGCAACAGGAAACAATTTTTGACCACTTCATATAGCCTAGGTTTGTTGGAAAAATGCTATTTTCTTTATGTATCTTTATTTTAATGTATTTTTTTTTTTTTGCTGGAATGAATACATTTTAGGTGAAGAGATGTGCAAATACTTTTTTCAACAATAAGGGAATTATTTAAATTCAAGTAGGCCTATAATAACATATACAATATATTATTTCTGACATTTTTCTTTATTTCATGGATTTAAGTTATGAATTACAGTATTGCATTACTACTTGGTATCACCATACTTCAGCTGGTATAATATTGTAACATAAATTAATGGTATCACAACACAACAACCCTATTTCTAACTAGTCCTCAGATGATTATTCAAATGGACAAAATATTCGGACTATTCTTGATCATGCAGTTCTTTGCTGAGAATTTTGTTAAATGTACTTTTAATGCATTAAACGATTTAAAATTACCCTGACACTCAGTATGGAGACAAGGTAAGGTTACTGGAACAATTCATGAATATGTTCTATGTCTTGTGCGGTAGTGTTCAAAAAGTTTTCTTTGATGTGTAAGTGCAAAACTTACATTTCCACTGCATATCAGCTCACAAACTGGTAGTCTGAAATAAAAAATAAATAAAGGGTATAATGATATTACAAACCAAATATGCCACTCACAATACTCTAATGGTGTGCTACATTTTAAACAACCTTGTAATTGTTCAAATTTATTTGCCCTAAATTGTTAAAAATTAGTAAAACCTTCTTTAAAAATGCCAACTAACAGGTTTGGCAAAGCCTGTTTCTTTACAGAAAGTTTGCTTATAACAAAGGCTTGTTGATGCCTTTGTGTGATATTGAGCAAACAAAGGGATGTTTCTGTGCTTGGTTGTACGAGTTATACCACTTCATCATTAACGTTATCCATCACACATATTCAGTCGCGTCTGGTCAGATTTATTTGTCATTACAGCAATACAAAACACTCAATAACGTAACGGCAACACTGGAATAAACCTTCAAAACGGCATAAAGAAAAGACAAATAGCATATAAAACAAATAAATTAGTTAATTAAATATCTCTCGCATTTTCATAAGTTTAACTTTAAGTTTCATAGGGATTGTTAGCATAAGCACACTTTAGCATCATGTGTAAATATGCATCTGCCTCATACAGTGACACGAATCGTAATCGCATCGAAATCCTAAATTACCTACGACACTCACGGGTCCATTTTGAGCTGAAACTGCTTTATAATGTTCTAAAAGCCTCGGCGGGTTAAAACTGCTGCTGCCCCGGCGATCATGGAGAAAAAAACGACTGGTCTGGTCATGAGCCGCTCGCTGAAGCCGGACCGAATCACAGCTGATCTCCTCACCTGCTTCCTGCAGGTGATCTCATAAAAGTAAATCTTAAAAAAAAAAAACGCATATTTTCGTCACAACAAGCGCCACTAAAGTTCAGCGATAACTAACGTTACTGTATTTGTAATGCGGATAAATAGGTTTCGTTTTCTTTTTTAAAAATGTAGACCTACAGCTATGTGTTAACTTTACATCTATTTGAACGGATCATTGCGCGCGCATTGCTCTCTCAGTGCATCATTTAAAATGGCGCGCCCCGCTCTTTTAGAGCATAACGCCCACTTTACAAATTACTAACTTTACAAATTATTAATAGTTATTAAAAAGGACTAAGCAGCTAAAAATAGCTTATCTAGTAAAGTAGACAGTATTGCAAATAACGTGCAGTGGTCAAAACGTTTAGTCACAACATCATGGGCTATTAATTAGTTCACAAAACAGCAAACAATTTCACAAAGTGCAGGAAATAAACAGATTACTGATACTATACAAATAAAATCAAAGTAGTAATTAAAACGAAAAGTTTACCTTGATTTACAGCAGTACATCTTCTCAATATGAAATCCTGTCCTTCAATGGCGGTGCTGGGTGGCGGTTGGTTGTGACTCGGGATGGGGGATGGGAAATCACCACCCAGTACGCATGCGTAACAGCATGGCTTAGCCCTTATAAGCAATTTTACTCAAATTACATTAGTTATGGGAACTTTATACCTTACTATGTCAGCAACACTAATGCATTTCTAGTAAACTCAACAATTAGCTTAAAATTAAGTAAACACACTAGAATTTCGATAGTAAGGAATACTATTCGCATTTACAGTGTAGGGCTGAGTTTGTTTGGATTTGAGATTGGGGTTGGTTAATTTTAGGGTCTGAGTTGTATGATTGATTTGTTTATTGGTTGGTTGGTTTTATAGTTGGTTGATGTTTGGTTGGTTTTAGGTTTGGGGTTGGTAATCTTTAGAGTTAGTTGTTTAAATGGTTGGTTTGTTGGTTGGTTGATTTTAGTACTGGGGTTAGTTGATTTTAGGCTTGATTGTTGGTTGGTTTTAGGGTTGATTGTTGGTTGGTTTTATAATTGGGGTTGGTTGGTTGATTGGTGGTTGGTTTTAGGATTGGGATTGGTTGGTTTTAGGGTTGATTGTTGGTTGATATTAGAGTTGATTGTTGGTTGGTTTTAGGGTTGACTGTTGGTTGGTTTAAGGATTGGGGTTGGTTGGTTTAAGGATTGGGGTTGGTTGATTTTAGGGTTGGGTCGGTTGGTTTTAGGGTTGGGGTCGGTTGGTATTAAGGTCAGGGTTGGTTGGTTGGTTTTAGGGTTAAGTTGGTCATAGGGTTGGAGTTGGGTTGGTTGGTTGGTTTTTAGGGTTGGCTGGTTAAGTTTAGGGTTAGATGGTTTTATGTTGGGGTTGGTTGATTGGTTTTAGAGCTGGGGTTGGTTGGTTTTGGGGTTAGTTGGTATTAAGGTTGGGGTTGGTTAATTTATAGGGTTGGGGTAGTTTGAATTTAGGGTTGAAGTTATTTGGTTGGTTGATTTTTAGGATTGGTCTGTTACAGGGTTGGTTAGTTGGGTTTTTGTTGGTTGATTTTATGGACGGGGTTGTTTAGTTTTAATGTTGGTTGGGTTTAGGGTTGGTTGGTTATAGGGTTGGTTGATTTTATGGATGGGGTTGTTTAGTTTTAGGGTTAGTTGGTTTTAGGGTTGGTTGATTTTAGAGGTAATTGATTGTCATTAGGGTTGGTTGGTTGGTTGGATCAAATCTGCTTTAAGAAAACATTATTTTTAATAATGGTTTTAGATTATGGACTTAGAAAATGTTCACATTTGTCTTATAAGCAACAAATGTATGCAGAATATGTCAGTTAGTCCGTTTTAATAATCTAGGTTTGGAAAAATGTATCTGTTTGATTTTGAAATCTTGATGACTAGTTAGTTGGTTAGTTAGTTGGTTAGTTAGTTAGTTAGTTAGTTAGTTAGTTAGTTAGTTAGTTAGTTAGTTAGTTAGTTAGTTCGTTTTGATCATCTGGTTTTGTAACAATTTGATTTGGTAAAATGGTTTAGGAAAATTAAAGTATTAATTTGATTTGGTTAAGAAAAAGCTTAGTTTTAGTCATTTTGGATAGTTAAGATCATCCGAGTTTAAACATCCATTTAACTTGGTTAGTTTTTAGTGTTGGTTGTACAATTTTCGAAAACTGTTATTTTGATCACTTGAGTTTGGAGAACTGCCAGTAAGTTAGTTGAAACCATTTGACTTTGACTTTGCATCTCATGTTTCATTTTCTTCATTTTGCAGATCAACGTTCAAAGACTTTTCAGAGAAGTATGGGAAAGATCCTCGATTCAAACAGGTTCAGAAGAGGAAAGACCAGGAACTGTTTTTCAGTCAGTTCATAAACACTCTGAAGAAGCGGGACAAGGAGAACAGAATACGCCTGAGGAAGATGAGATGAGTGTTTGAACTCTCCACACTACTGTGAACTGATTTCCTTTGACTGTTTATCAATGCGAATGCACTGATAGCATCTGCCCATTCGTCTGGCCAAATGACAAGGGCAGCAGCGCTGTTTGCTTTACAGTGACGGACTAAGAAAACTGAACAAATACACAAGCAGCTAAAGGCGAGCAGTGGTTTGGGAATTAACTCTGCATATCTGAATCTGTTTCATATTGAAGCTCTTAATCTCCGGTTTCAGAATAACAAGGTTTCTAAATCAATGCTGAACACGAACACAGAGTTTGACTCGATAGAAGCATCTAAAGCCATTGACCTGTGCACACAGGCGGAAAATGATTTTTATAATAATTGTAAATAAGTGTTGACTTGCCTGGCGCTGTGCTCAAAGTGACCGTAGAAGTGAAACATTTGTCAGAGTACGACACAGATTCCCCAACGCATCTGTGGGAATCAGTAAGTGGTGTTGTGTATCGGTAGAGTTTTTCCAAATGTTGTCCAATGGTTTGTTGTAGCTACATTTGTCATGATATCGTAAAAATACTTTTTACAAAAAAAATATATATATATTGATGTACAGCTGTGTGAAGCAAGTGGATTCTGTTTACAGTCAATAACAAATTTAATTGAAGGGACTGTTTAGATGTTTGGCTGCGTTCAGTTTATGGAAGTATCATTCATTTGTAAGTATGATTAAATAAAGGATTTTATTTTCTTTGTTATGGTTGACATGCAATTATACATTTTGTGTTGGCTTTTATACCCACTAAAAACCATATTCAGGGCTCAACAATATGTTTTTTTTTCTTTTCTGACAATGCTAAAGTTGTCAATTATTTCATAAAACAGCTAAAAATGTATATCTTACTTTTTAGAATATTGTTTTACCAAAATGTGATATGCCTTATTATTTTTATGAACACTTTTAATGGAGTAATACAGTGAATATGGCATTCAATGCTAAATTAAGCTGTCATTTTAAAAACAATAGATTTTGCATCTAGGATAACGGCAAAGTTTTCCAACCATTCATAAAATATGCATTCGCTAGGATGACATTAGCCCCTCCTTGAATTTACATCATTTGTGGGTCATTGTCTATTTAGAAATAATGTATAAGAAGTAATTTAAACTTGCATCTAAATCAGTTTTGGATTTTGTTTACAATATGAGAAGTAATTTTAGCAGCAATTCACCTGTACGATGCTATGTATAAAATAAACTATAAATAAAACAACACATACGTCGAACGTGTTGACAAAAGAAGCTTTTTTTTTTTTTAGGACTGGCTCAGCTTTGATCAGTGCTTAATCTGTGAATCGCGAGGTCCCGGAACAGATCGGGGTAATGAATCTGTCATGCTACCCAAGGATGTAGATGTGGCATGCATGACAGTGAGCGGGGGGTTGTGGGATGGTTGGGATGGTGAGATAGCGGGGCGTTGGATAACAAAGGGGTGTCGCAGACGTAAGTTATGAGCCAGGGCAGGGGCTGGTTGTTGCGGACGAAAGTGAAGAGGGTTAGGGAGTTGCGGAACAAAGTTAAAGTGGACAGCGGACGGGAAGAAGGCGAGGAGGTGGATCTGTAAAATAAGTGCCGGATCTGGACTTTAATAAAGTTTAACATCAGTTTGAACTCATTTTAGCCATTTTAAACCAAGGTCCTGACACTCTGTGGTCATTAAAAATCCCAGGATGTCCTTTGAAAACCAGCATCTTGGCCAAATTAGCCCACTGGCCTCTGTCCATCATGACCTCCTAACCATCCCCATATCTCTCTAACGATTAACTGGTGTGTGTTCTGGTGCAATTTGACTGCTGTCACGCCATCCAGGTAGATGCTGCATTGGTGGTGGATGAGAAGATTCCCCTTAAAAATGTGTACAGTGCTTTGAGCGTTCAGAAAAGCGCTATATAGATCTAAGGAATTATTATAATAATTATTATCCAATTTCCATATAAATGTGTCCGAATAAAAGTTTGTAATGTTGTGGTTGTCCTCATAGCTACTTAGTTTGGTTTGAACACCAATGAAATGTCATTTTGAAAGACAAAATCATGTTCTGTGCATTAAAGTAAATGTAAATCTTGTAATTTATGGTAATTAATAAGCGGGACAACCAACAATTATTAATACGTACGAGAATTCAAATGTTTTTAAGACATATGATTTTAAGATGCCTGAAGCTCGGACCCAATACAGAAATCATTCATATTGTTGAGCCTTGATTTGTTACCATGTAACAAAAGTGTTGTGTTTACATTTCCATCCTTTCTTTTCCTATTGTTTTGTTTATTTGTATTATTGTTATAACTGTAATACCTCAGTTAGAGCTTTCAATTGTTTTCGTTGATATTCTAATAAAAGTTATATTGTGGAGAAGCCAATAAAAAAAAGCAATTTCCGAAGAATCTGAGTGTAATAAAAGCAAACGCACACTTGTCACATACAATGCTGGCCAGAGGAAACAAGTTATTCTTATCTGGTTTCCCCATTAACGTCGAGACGCCAGAGGAAAGGTTTAATTTCACTTGTGTTCCTAGATGTATTTTAGATCAAATTCTAATTTGATGTGACATTGAATGCCTCACCTTTGTTTGTAACTCTGCATTGTCACAAGGCACAAACTAACAATTAACATTTCTCAGGCGTCATCTCTAATTTGAAATGTAATGAAGATGCTTTATTTAATTTTAAAATTGAGTGATGAGTCATAAATTTGGTTGGTTTGTTGACGAGTAAACACTTGGCATTTTATAAAAGCCTCTCTTTAGTTTAATGTGGCCTGTTTTCAGCTGCATTGCTTGCAATCACAAAGCTCAAATAACCAACAACAAAGACTGTATTTCATCACCAGCAGCCTCATTAGTTTAACACCACAGACAATAAGACTAAAGAAACCTGCATATTTAATGAACACGATACTAAGGCTTAAAATAAACCTGCATTTTCACACAGTACTGCACGTGCACTGAGATTTCTTCAAGATATACAGTTGAAGTCTGAATTATTAGCCCGTCTATATACTTTTTTTTTTCTCCATTTTTTGTTTAATGGAGAGAAGATTTTTTTTCAACACATTTCTAAACATAATAGTTTTAATAACTCATTTATAATGACTAATTCATTTTATCTTTGCCTTACCTAATTAAATATCTATTAAAATATTATGTACTGTCATTATAGCAAAGAAAATTAGACAAATTGGGAAAACAATGCATTGCTTAAAGGTGCAGTAAGTTTGAAATCCAGTGGTTGAAGTTTTGCACACCTGGTTCATTTACGACATCAACAGAAGTGTGCCTGACTATTAAGCCTAAAGGCTGATTTAAATTAAGTTCTGAATAAAAGCAACGGCACGCGATAGAAGAAATATTTTCCCATAAGGAGTTTTTGTCCTAACCAACACCTGAAATTCATATTTTAGAAACGGCTTCTCTATCTTGCAGCTGAACAACAGCAAACTGACAATGAGATCATCTCAGGTACACCTCATGTGCTTTATTCAGTGTTAAATGCTAACAATGTGAGTTTAAATGTTATTTTTCATGACATTTATTGCCATACTACTGAAAGCAGCAGCAGATAGTTCACCTCAGATCTTGACAATAAAATAAACCATTTTAAATTGAACATTAGAGCTGGACTCGGTGTAAACCAACACATCAGTGATTCAGCATGTACATTTAATATTGTTAAAGAGCTATAATATGTATTAATTAGATTATAAACATTGCCGTTTCGTTGGAGTGCAGTGAGTGCACTATTTTGTGCTTCTGAATGGCTGCATTTAATTTTGTCATGTTTCGTCTGGTGCAAACAGCCAAATTGCTTATCACTGCGTTTCTTGTCACATAGTGTGTTGTTGGGACACGGGGTTACAGTGTAACCTGCTCACCTAATGTTTAAATCTGCTATATTTATATTATTTGCTAATTAATAACCACCTCATATGGAACTCTGAATCTGCATCTCATTTCAGAGTCTGTGACTGTCCACCAGAGGTCACATTTCAGTCACTGGCACATGCTATAATAGTCTTCCTGACTGACTGAATGAATGAAATATGTTGTTTTCCACCAAAGCACTCCGGGGTGCTAAAATATATTAGCTAGACTGACACTGGGCGGATTAAATTACCAAAACAAAGACAGATGTTCTGGCACGTAACTCACAATTTGAAAGCAGAATATCTGACTTCAGCATTGTTTTTCAGATAAATAAGAAAGTTCACTTAAAATGTACCCTAAATATCTGCAAACATATTATATTATGGTGTTTTATGCTTTAGAAGAGTCAAAAACTTAATATGAAGCCAGATCAGTCTCAATAATAATACATTTGCATTCATAACATTCATAAATGCACAGCACAATTCATAAATTCAAAACACAATTCATAAATCCACAACTCCAATTAGTAAATTCATCAATTCAAAAGTAAAAAGCACAAACATATGCCAAAAGTGCACACATATGCATCTTGCATAAATACATTTAAAATGTTTGCACAATTATGTATATACAGTACTAAGTTCTCGGATTACTTTCCTCATGCATTTATAAATTATGTCAGATGCATTTACGAACCACTGAATGTGCATTTGAAAATGCTCATGGGCAGGGAGTCCTTGGAATTTGTATCACTGGTATATTTGAGACCTTCCTATGAGGACTAGATTCGTACATCTTTTTTTGGAGGATATTCGGTTTAGCCAATCGCGGTGAGTTTTTAATTCAACCAATCAAAACGCTTCTAGCTGAACAAACTTAAGAAGCTCCACTATGTAATTATTAATATTTTGTATAAAATAAAATGTTTTACAGTATTATTAGACATTGTGTCTTATATCAGTAATAGTGAGTGATGATCTTTATGTTATTCGCGGAATGCTGAATTCAATGCATTCAGTTGCAAATACTGAAAGAATCATCGATTCATATGAATCGGTTAAATAAACGACTCGTTTAGTAATACAATCATTTGCTGCCATCTGCTGAAATTTTTAGAATATTATTTTGTCGATCACCTTTGTGATCAGAATGTTGTGTAAATTGAAAAAAAAAATTGCCACTTTATTATGTAAATGCATTTATTACCTAATTCACTTTTAGATGCAGATACTCTGCCACTTATGCAACGCAATAATGCTATGGAAATCACTTATTAAATTGTTATCAGCCTATAATACTCTGATTAAATTAGAGGTCAAGGGAAAAAAATCTAAACTCTTTAAAGCTTTAAGGTGGCTAATAATATTGACCCCAAAATGATTATAAACATTTAAAACTGCTTTTATTCTAGCCAAAATAACAAAGGCTTTCTCCAGAAGAAAAAAAAAATTATCAGAAATACTGTGAAAAATTCCTTCCTCTGTTAAACCTCATTTGGGAAATATATGATGACTTCACATTTTGACTTCAACTGTATATTCTGTCACTGTTCAGCTCCACTTATAAATAGGGTCAAGGGAACTGTGTGAACAAACCAATGACGTCTGCAACAAAAGCTGGAATCAGCAGCCAGCAGAGCAGAAATCGTCGTGATACATTTCAGCAATAAATAAGAGATGAAGGATGAATGTTTAAGAAATCAGTTATACATTCCACTTGGAGATGAAAATGACTTGGAGTGAACTTGGGATTGTATGGACTACTTTACGGCTTCACAGTCATGGTCACTGTGAAAAAAAAAGCTCTTAACAAGTTCCCTCTTTTGTGTT